TCACCCAAGTGGGAATGGGTACCCAGCTATAGACAGCGATAGATCTTGTCAGTTTGTTAGTGTTTGAGCGCTAAATCGGCTGCTTGCCCTGTATGCTTCCCGGGAAGCTGAGAATGTTTCTGAGTGTTCTATGGTCTGCTGGGGTAATAATATAGTGTAAAGTGCATAGAGCCGGCTGTTGAGCGGGGATATGCGCTATACAAATGCTAGTTATTATTATTATTATTGCCTACAAATTGCTAATTTTGATACAGCCACACCATCCTGCCCACACATTTCTGTGTACGCTTGTAGATTTCCCCACAAGACCATCTACAGGTCTCTTGTTTTAGTGTTTTATGGCACTTGCAACACAATAAGGTCATATAAGTGCCGAAGAGTAGAGGTGTTACAAGAGAGTAACATACGTGAAAAAGAAGGAGGAGAGATATGGACAACAGATGTTTGATAGGAGGAAAGAAGAAGCAAACCACACCAGAGCACCCGCCAACCACCCACCTACAGGTCACGACGTGTGCCTCAAAAAGAAGTACTCACCCGTATGTTGGACCGTGTTTCACAGACGTGCTTTAAACTGTGGTGGTGTTGATGAAAATAGATCAACTTTTATATATTTTAGGTGTTCTCTGTAAATCACCTGATATATTTTTTTTTCAATCACTCTGAGGTAACATCAAAGAAAACATGTCATTGGGCTGTGTCATTTATGGGCATTTACAGTCTGCAGGTCATCCAACTTTTAAGTCCGGTATGCAAAGACTTTATTAAAAGATTAAACAGAATGAGAGCAATTTGTTTTCATGCCGGTTTAACTGTGAACACACAAAAGTAAACAAGCTATAATGATCCTATCTAAGGCTCCCCCCCCCACCCCACCACCCCACCCCACCACCCCACCCCACCACCCCCCCCACCCCAAATTTTTTTCTCACATGTAGGGGGTTTTCTTTCCCCCCCCCCCCCCCCCCCCCACATCAACACAATTTAGATCAAAGGCTTTTGCAGCAAGCTCTGAATCATAGCAGGGTTCGAAGAATACAGGAACAAGCTAGGACTGACGCTCTGTCGGGATAGGTCGAGTCACAACGCAAAAACGAGGCTGAGTGAGTGGGTAGGTGGATGGTGAAAGAGAGAGCAAGAAGGAGAGAGGAGGAAAAAGACAAGAGTGGACCACTACAGACATCCCGGAGCAAAGAGTGACTAAAAAAAAACAACAGAAAAAGGAACGAACAGCTGGGCAGGTTTAGCTGAGTGAGCAGAAGATGAAAAGGGAAAGAGAGAAGGAGAAAAAGAAATAAAAATTGTTTCAGTAAGTGTTTTACGGCACTTGCAACACAATAAGGTCATGATATAAGTGCAGAAGATTAGAGGTGTCACAAGAGAGTAACAAACACAAAATAGAAGGAGGGGAGATAAGGACGATAAAAGTTTGATACGAAAGAAGAAACAAGCCACGACACCAGAGCACCCGCCAACCGCCCACAGAGGTGTTACAAGAGAGTAACAAACACAAAATAGAAGGAGGGGAGATAAGGACGATAGATGTTGGATAGGAAAGGGCGTGAAACAAAAAAAGTAGAAGGAAAGAGAAAAAGTTGACCCAGTAAGAGAAACAGGGACGGGATGAAACGAGCACTTGACGTCTGTTTCCCACAACGAGGTGTGGGTGCAAGCACTTGACCCAGACAGGACTAGCAAAGGACAGCCATGCACGTACAAGAGGGTGCAACCAAAAACCACTGCTGTCAATGACTTAGAGGTCAAGTGCTCTGACAGTCATTCATAAACCTCGGAATGTAATACGTATGTCTATGGCGTATATGAGTACTCCAACTGTAGGTGTCATTCATCAACCTCAAAATATGCTCATGTCTACGGTGTATTTCGTTACTATGATGTCCCAATGTCTATGGTGCATTTCGTTACTATGATGTCCCAATGTCTATGGTGTATTTCGTTACTATGATGTCCCTATTTCTATGGTGTATTTCGTTACTATGATGTTGGCATCATTTATTAACCTGTATGCACATATGTCTATGATGTATTTGGCTTCTCTGATGAAGCTGTCATTCATGAAACTCTGGATATACATATATGTCTACGGTGTATTTGGCTTCCATCTTGGTAGACATCATTCATTAAAATCTTTTTAAATCTTTTTTCAAATTGTTGGTGTTTTTACGGCTCCATTGTCACAATTTAGATAATTTAGGAGGCCAGTTTCCCACCCTGCCTGTCAGCATCAACTCTGGCTGAGAGGGAAACAACATCCCAGCTAAAAACCTAAACACTTGATAAAAACTCCTCCTCACTCCAGAAGCCGGTGGTGTCATTCATGAGCCCCCTACCCCCACCAATTTACAAAAGTCTATCTATGGTGTATTTGAGTACTCCGCTGTGGGTGTCAAGTACTCTCAAGTGCCTAGTGAGGAAAAGCCTGTCATTACCAAAATTACGCTCTCATTAAATGAGTCACACGGAAGTTCTTTGACGCAAGTTCCATCAAGACTTTGTGGTACAAAAACTTGTGTTGGCAAATGGGAACAGGCGGACAAAGCACTCCGAGGTGCAGCATGAGCAATAAGGCCAGAATGTTAACGCTGTATTTTTTCAAACAATTTGAACTCTTGGCTAACAGCTAGTTTCCTCATTTTGACGAATGATTTTTTTCTTAGGAATTGTGAATGATTACCACACTTAGGAGCAGAAAAACATGATCGGTCTGGGGACATGCGTATATTTGTGTGCATAGAACTATCAAAACTGACAATAAAGTCCTATCCAACATCTATCGTCCTTATCTCCCCTCCTTCTATTTTGTGTTTGTTACGCTCTTGTGACACCTCTGTGGGTGGTTGGAGGGTACTCTGGTGTTGTGGTTTGTTTCTTCTTTCGTATCAAACTTCTATCGTCCTTATCTCCCCTCCTTCTATTTTGTGTTTGTTACTCTCTTGTGACACCTCTATTCAGTGCAAAAATTGGAAAGAGCTGTAAAAAAGTATTTTTTTTAATGTAGGTGTTTTACGCACCCACAGACACAAGGTTTGATCCCTCTTTCCCCCTAGTCATCTATCATCCTTATCCCTCCTCCTTTTTTTTGTACATTACTATCTAAAAACACCTTTTATCAGGCTTACTCTGCACACCTCTCTAGCCTCAAGAGCAGTAAGTCTGCTTCGACTTTCAAGGCGCCCCAGAAATAGCAGTTCACGAGAGTGACAAACATACAAAAGAAGTAGAGGAAAAGTGGCAATAGTAAGGATAAGGAAAGAAAAAGCAGCAGTTCCCCCTATGTGGTTCTGGCACAGTATGAGCATGACATAGATAAATCAGCCCATTTACAATTCTATGGTGCATAAGAACATGTTACTATCCCCCAGTTTGGGAATGGCCTAAAGACAACTTCAGTCGGTACTGCTGCTTTGGGGGGGGGGGACAGTAAGAGTTTTCCAGCACATGTAGACCAGCAGACACGGCGGCACTGACCTGCTCTAGCAGATTGGCGGAGGCCAGGAGGATGTCCCGGCTGGTGCTGCTACAGTTGGCGATGAGCTGGTCCAGCAGGCCCTCCATGCGGATGATGTCGCACAGGCTGTAGGCGAGGTCGCGGCCATACACGGGTGTATCCCATGCCTCCTTGGTCAGCTTCAGGATGTCCTGCAGGATCTTCACCTTGGTCACCTGGTCAGCCCCTGGAGACGGTCCCCAGCCGAAGGAGGAAAGTTTTAGTAAGAGTTTAGTTTTAGTAAGAATTTTACGGCACATGCAACACAATAAGGTCATATAAGTGCCGAAGATTAAAGGTGTTACAATAGAGAAACAAACACAAAAAAGAAGGAGGGGAGATAGAAATTATAGATTTTTTTATAGGCAAGAAGGAGCAAACCACACCAGAGCATCCACCAACCACCCAGAGGAGGGAGGAAAATTATCACAACACGTCAGTCTACTCCGCAAATAACAACAATCATCATTTTTGTTTCAAAAGTGTACATCTTTTTACACCCCTTTTGACAAAATTTGCATCATTTAGGAGGTGGCCAAGAGGGAAAAATTTTGGCATAAAGACCAGGATATTCGATAAAAGATGTCAGTCTACTCGGCAAACAACAATCAATG